AGAGACTCTCCAGGACCACACTGTGTCCCTCTGGCAATAGACAAAATAGATAAAGCTATCACTCAAGGGCAACCTTGAGTAATGGCTACATTTTCCGTCATTTAAAAAGGATGTTTTGATGCATTAAATAGAGAAAACATGTTGGGAGCTTTGTGTTAGGAATAAGTAGAGTGGCAGGTCATGCGAAAAGCAGCTGGGACAGTGGTTAGGGCAAAGCATTAGGATCAGCTGCTCTTTTTAACCTTCTCCACACTACTGACTTGTCCTGAGATTTGGAGAAGACTGTTATGGTAAAGTCTATAAGCCAGAGCCCCTCACTTAACTCTTTTGAAACTGCCTTTCTGCGTCTGTGAACACTGTAGCAGTTTGTCATGTCAAAACACTTTTACAGGCTCAGATAAAAGCTGCTAAGTATTAGCAGCTGTAGTGGCCAGTCAGTGTATTTTTACCCCTTTTTGAACATGTGCCCAAGGATTGTTTGATGAGGATATTTTCTACATCTGTAAATAAATGCATGCCTGTGTGGACACTGGGACCTGGTAAGACCAGAGAATATGAAAAGCAAGATGAAGTCTACTGACTGTAGATCCTCTGACTGGATCCTTTATGGCAGCTGCATGAACAGACTTCTCCCTGAGTTTTTACTCTAGCAATTACTCCTAACTTGGCATCCAGAAGTCAGCCCTGGCTTCCAACCTGAAAAAAAAAAAAAAAAAAAAAAAAAAAAGAAGCAGAGAGTTAGGCTTAAACACACTAGCCTCTGTCAAGCATTCAAGGTATTGTGCGTGTGATAAAGGGTTGGATAAAACAGTAGCAAAAGTCTGCTATCTTCCAAGGCTCGGGAAAATAAACCACAAAAGTAATTCAACAAAGTCCTCTTTGTTCCTGAATAGAACCAACGAAATGAAAGGAATCTGGTAGAAGAGAGAAGGCAAGAAAGAAGTCTGCTGCAGGGAGCAAGTACAGACAGAATCGCTCTTTGCCGGCTTCTCTGACAGAGCAAGTGCATGATTATCACATGAGCCTCACAAAGACTGGAATTAAAGGGGCTGACTCGGCTGTCACATCGCTTAAGCTGAGCTGAGGTCAAAGGAGTTCGGACTAACGGAGGTCAGCCACACACAGCCCAGGAAGCAGGGGTCTCTTTTTCTAAGCAACAATTGCTCAGGTTGATAAAAATAGATACCTGGAGCCCATGATGGCTTATAAAGCTGTCCCTTTATGCCTGATTGCCATGAAGTGCAGTATATAATCAATAGCGCTCTGAAAAGAACAGAATCACAATGAAAGCAGTCAGATGCTCACTAGAAACAAGTGTAAAGGGCAAATCACACAAGAGAAGACACCATCTGTGCTAGCCCCTAAAAGACCAAGGGAAAAAATAATGTCTGAAATATTAGAACACAAGTCGGATAAAATCCAAATGCAAACAGATGTCAATGACATGACTGTAGGGGAGCCTGCTATTTGCAGGTCTCCACATCTCTTCTGTATATTATTTCATGAATCGTGTCCCCGACAGAGACCTCTCCTTGCAGATTTTCAGTGCTGCCAGGGCTCCCGAAGAATGTCCCTGTGCTAAAAATAGTACCTATTCGCTCCCATGCCCTCTGTCCCCTTTCAGCTTCCACTTGACATGATTCAGCTCCAAGAGAGGAGCACTGACCTCGTCTCACCAGGAATACCAAACATCTCCACAGCTTTGATGAACCTTTTGGTGAGAGTGGGAAAAGGAGAAATGTACACATCAGGTGTGTAGTCATGTGCTGGATATGTCTGGATACATCCTGCTACTCATGTTTGAAACCAAAACCAATATTCATCACCTTCAGAATGCAAACACAGAAAAGCACCTTTTGGTTTGTTTGGTTAGTTTGTTTTTTGGTTTGTTTGCATTGTTGTTTTTTTTTTTTTTTTCCCTGGGTACTCCAATAGCATCTGCACTGGGTCCATCGCAAAATCCATTATTTTTGTCATAGATATAGAATTATATCATCTTTACTATCATCACTTCTGCATATAACCAAGCTCAGGACGCTAGTGGGTTTGTTATTCCACAGCACAGATTAAGTAATTGTCTCTACCCAACAAACTCATACTTGCCTTTGTATCCCAATTTGTGAATCGAGATTTTCCAACCTGACACTATTTGTGGCAACAAATTTTTAAAATACCTTTTTAAATACCAAGTTTTTAAAATACCTTTTACAAATAAAGTCTGTGTCCCCTTCATTCCTCAGGTCACAGCACTGGGGATTCGTGGTAAACAAACTAGATTTACTGTGACACAGACAGAGCGAACAGAACCAGGTTTTCAATAATCACTCTGTCACAACTACCTTCCAACAGGGAACTCACTAAAACAAATCCTGAGAGCAAGTCAAAGAGGGAAAACTAGATGACCCCCCCAGGGGATATTCACAGATGTATTCAAACTGATAGTGCAGGATGAATCTGAGACAAGTCCTTGAGTAAGCTCAGTTCTCCTTTACAACCTGTTAATGACTATGTGTTTACCTGTCCTTGAGGAAAGAGCCTCTACCATGGCTTATCAGACCCAGAGGGATTCCACTGTCCTGAGGAAGGTCTGGGTCAGAAGTTAAACTGAAAACTCCAAATGCATTATCTGTGCTTCATCATTTGACAGACTTTAGACTGGAATTGATGTTCAGTGTCCAGTGCTGTAATAGCAGCCAACTGCCTTTTTTATTAATTTCTGTCCTTTTAAACCAATTCTACTACATTTTTTTCTGCTCTGTTGCAAAGCTTGAGACAGGGCTGGTGCTGTGTCCCTTAGGTCAGAATCACCTCGCAGAAGGACATGCCAATGCCCGTTGTGTGTGTGTACATGCTTTGGACAGGTGAAGGACAATTGTGTCCACTGGTGCTACCTGGAACCACTAACCACTGTTGCTAACCACTGGAAGCAACACAGAGTGAACGGCAAAAGCCAGCCCCTTCAGTGCTAGTGAAGGGAATGGGTAAATCCTCAGACCATGGAATTTTGCACTTTTGGACACAACTGGCATCCTGGTGGAGAGGAAGATGAGGAGCAAGCACTCCAATCATGTACAGCCTGGGCAAGGTGAGAGACTTGTGCTTAGGGACCTGAAAGTGTTCCCTCCTGAGTCACTGAGAAGGCTGTGATCCACCAAACAGTAGGACTCTCTGTTGCATGTTCCCCACTGAAAATGTTCTGGTTTTGTCTATAAGGAAGTTCATTATTTTATCTCCAAAGTGACGGGGAGTAATGCAGATTCTCTTTCTGTGTGTTGTCATCAGCTCAGCATGTCTTGCTGGTAACTTACCCACTCATTGCAATAAAGTAGCCTTGGTCTTTCACACCATGTTAAAGATAATAATCAACAGACTACTTAAACCAGGCTTGGCTTGACTGCAGATACCAACTGAATTCCGTAGTCAAAAGGAAACACTAGTAGTTTTACATCCCTCCAGTTAGCATTGCTCAATGCCTAGTGTTAAGATAAATTAGGTTCTTCAGCATGTAGGATGAAATAAGAGCTGCTATCATAGCAGGATGAGTTTGTCAAACACTGCTTACATTAGGCAGCAAACTTCTGTTCCCATAGAAGGAAGGATTTTGAAAGTAGATAACCAAGCTGATCTTGGGGCCATGATTCATGATCTATGTAGCCTCACTTAGTGCAAAGTATATCGCTTTCTCTAACAGCCCTTAGCAGGGACTATGACAGAACTATTTTTTTCTTCTGAATGATATATTATCAAATTCAGATCTACAACTTCATTTTCAGACATCTCTGTTCATTGTTCTTTTATTCCAAGTATTCCTTGGCATGGTTTAAGAACTACTGAAGTATTTAATAGCTGTTTAAAAGTAGCAGCTATAACTACTTAGACTAGACATAAATAGAAGATGACTAAACGGGTCATTACCTTTACAAAAAAAGTGTTTATGGAGAAAGATTTAAGAGAAACAAGATTATAGATCCAACTGCTCCACTATTCTCTGTGTTTTAAAGGAGAAAGCAGAGTGGGTTTGCAAAGTTAAGTACAGGATAAGACTATTCTGAGTCTAAAAAAAAGATGAAGGCACTGTTCGAGAGAATTTGCAAGTTGCTCAGCCCTTGGAAAAGTCAAGCCATTTCTGGAGCTGCTTAGGTAGGGATTCTTGGCTCTAACATCCCAGTTATGATCAACGTTTTGACTGTGATGCTTGGTCACTAAATTATGCTAGTTGTGAACAAGAAAGATGTTATTTTTCCATTCAGATGGAGAAAGGAGGTGGAAAGGTATAAAATTGAGTGTCTCTATTCCCTTGAGATCGACCCAAGCTCTCAAGAAATCAATGCAAATCTTTCCATTGAGTTCACTGTGCTCTGGATCACATCCTTAGAGAGGTTGTTTTGTTGTCAAGTCCATTCCTTCTTTCCCCTTCGATTGCTCAATTTGCTTTTTGCTGTTAGGATCTTTTTCCCAAATATTAATAAATCTGTATGATCTTTGGCCTCTAGCTGAGTCTTTCTTCTATGGCACACTGTTCCACTATATGCGTGACTGCATGGTTGAGGGTTTGCTCTGGAAATTACTCATAAAAATGAATTGCCTAGTAATACCACAATTGTCAATATGTGTAAGTTGCAGCATCCCCCCTGTGGGCCATTGTAGCAGATCATAAAACCTCATTTCCAGGAAAGTTTCAAAACTTTTATTTTCTAAAGAACATTATTTATCAGCATCCAGATGACCTGTCCCATTTCTCTATCCACTTCCTCTCTCTTTTTTCCTCACCAGACATGGTAGTTTGAAGACTACTGGCAACAGATCTTATGTCAGGCTCCTGGTTTTATGCCCTGGTTTCATATCAGTGTCAGCTGAAGTGTATAAAAACAGCAAGACTCATAAGACAAATGCCCACACCAGTGTTTGTATGTGACCATTTCCCCATTGTTAAGCTTTTGTAATAACAGCTGATTTACAAGTCTGACACTTACGCAGACATATGCTTTGGCATTCTACAGGCTTCCCGAGACTCATGCCCTCCGGCACTGCTTGTTGACCTCTCCTTCAAACACGGGACTTTGAGGGATCATCACAATGGCCAAACCACTCTGAACCTACATGGTTGTGAAAACTCTAGTCATGCCCCCATCAGAGTTTACAGTGATGCATTTTTTCATGGACAAATTATATTCTGTTGAGACCAGAACTTTTTGCAAGTACTTACCAGTTCTTATGAAGCTCTTACCTGGGAAAGGTTCTCATGCCTAGGATGAGACTTGAAATGCATCAAAGAGCAAGAAAACTGTCATCCCTCCCAGACACTCATCCTATGACCAAGGCACTGACTGGTGGCACAGGAGTCCAGATTTCAAGTTTCTGTTCTGCAAGATGTCTGAATGTCAGAATCCTGCATCCCAGGCAAGTTTTATGGCCACCAAACTATCAGTTATTCCGAAGAACAGCTTCCTCTGTCTCTCCTGTTGGACCTGTTTCACTTTGTATAAATAATTAAACATTAATTGGAACAAGGACTTGAACTTAGACTGCCCATTGGACTATTGCATTGGTCTTTCTCCAGGCCGGTGAATAGGTAACTATTTGTACAAACTTGGTAAGTTGCAGAGCAACATAGGTAGCTGAGGGTGTCCCAAAAACTCAAGAAAAAAAACCAAAAACAAAACTAAACAAAAAAATACTTGTAGTAAAGTCATTTAGTAGACTACAAAACACCTGTTTTTCAGTCATTGACCTGAATGAGGCAGAACAAGGACTACTAGCTGTTCTAGACGAGGCTTTGTCAAATCATCTCCAAAGGTCATGCTTCAATCAAATTTTGAAAAGAGATAATATTTAAAAATCATACCATTTTATTCTGAAGTGACAAGAAAAAAATCCTGTAGTTACACAATCCTTTAACAAGTCCTTTGCATTAGGATAAAGGTGTTAAGTATCTTTAGCATCGTGATAGCTTGACTCTTAAAGTTTCTGAAACCTCTGCCCCAGACATGAGGAAGGACATCGCTGTTCCAGTTCCGAGTGATTTGCTCCTCTGACACTCTTCCCAGCTTTGCTGGCATTTTTCAAATGAAGGCTTAAGTCTATTACTTACATACTATCTTCATATGACCAATATGACATTTAGTCATATAGAAAGATAAATGAAGGTAACTAGAAAAGTTCAGTAAGTAGTGTAAGATTACCATAAAAGACCATAGGAAAGGTAAGACAAGGACTGGAAAGGTTGAGTCCTAATCCTCTTGCCTACCCACTAGATAATGTTCCATAATAACTTTAATGTTTACATTTGGTGGTCAAAACCACTTCTTTTCAAACAGCTCTTTGATAAGGAACTTTCATTAAATTCTTTGAGTAGAACTAAAGTCCATGTTTTAGACACTTTCACCTCTCTATAAACATTTGATATCAACAAGTTAGTGTTCTTGTAGACCATGCAAGGTTCTGCTTTTTCTTTAATGTCATGTAATACTTCATTTTCATAAGCACTCGCATAAATTCAGTTAAGAGTTAACCAACTAAAATATACAAATATACGGGAGGTTTTATGAAGAACTACAACTTCAAAAGGAGTTGGTTTAGGAGTCATGACCTTATTTTTTGCAATAACTTATGCATCATGAACTTACGTAATTGGCAGCAGATAACATATCACACTCTCAGTTTTATGTCCTTGGTTTGACAACAGTGTCAATTGAAGTATTTGCTAACAGCAGAACTAATGGAGCCTCATAGCTGAAAATGTTTTCATTCCAAAACTGATGTTTGTACCAAAACATTTCCCCTTTATTGTTCTTTTTTAACATTACTAAATTCAGTATCAGAAATGGATAGGGGTACACAGATAACTTTGGACATCAAGAAATTCTTTCTGAATACTATTTATCCTAGCAAAATATAAATACCTGAGGGAGAAAAATAGATGTTTTTCTAATTAAAATGTCATCAGAAAGCACAAAAGCACACACATGAAATGGCCTTGGAGCTCTAAATCTTTGTTATCTTTAGAGCAGGAGTCAATGTTAAGATAAATTATTGGGAAATGAGTGACCTGGATTTTAAAACTCTTTAGTAGAATAGGTTTCAGTCTATTTCTTTTTTTTCCCAGAGATTGCATTAAGCAGCAGACAAGAGGTAAGGCTGACTGGTCCTCTATGTTGAAACTGGACACCTGTACCATCCACTGAAAAGGTCAATCCTCTTGGGACACTGGGATTTTCATAAGCTACAGCAGAAAATGCATAAAGTAACAAATTATTAAACAAAAGGAAAAAGTTTTAAGAGGAACATTGGCAACTTAGGGTCTTAACACTCATTTAAATTTTGTGGCAAAGAAGCCCAAATTTATTGAGGCTCTTGTTGGATGATCTGAGGCTTAGAAATCGGACTTGTTTGGGTTTTGGCTCTGACATGTATTTTGTGGAGAGCAGTTCTGTTTCAAGAGACTTAATAATTTACAATAACATACAACGCAGAGGAAGAGAATGGCTGCATTTTTAACTATTTTGAAGCTTTCTGCTTTACCAAATTACAAATAAACGGCAGGAAACAATCATATGCCATCAGTTTAGTAGAGCATTTGCTGTTATGTCTCATCTGAACCTGAATTTAAATTGATCTGAAGAAAACCAGTTATCTGTTTTGAAATCTGGCTAACAGTAGATTATTGCTGGCAATGTAGATTACTTGGTAGAAACCATTTTTGATTCGATTTTATTGAAAACTTTCAGTATCTGGGAGAGTAAATTGCCATAGTGAAACAACATGTAGCTAAACTAGAAGTTATAAACAGCAGCCAAGGAAGAGGAAAAAAAAATATATATCAAATAGCAGGAGGAAGGACAGAAAAATAAAACTGGAAAAATTGAAACTGGTATGCATAAGAAAAAGGAACGCACATTAATCAGGTGGAAGAAATGCAAGGAGGTGCAGTACTAAACGAAACCACAAGTATTGCATGAGGGACTGCACTGTCACGCAGCAAGAAAACAAAGCCCTTTGGAGCTGTCTATGCAGAGGCCGTTACTCCAGAACAGATATGGTGGTGCACTTTGGAACCATGTGGGAAATTTGGCTGAAAGGGTGTCATAAACTGATCAAATCCATTCCTGTTTCTCTATGCAGGAACAATTATATCTATCTTATTCCCGAATGCTGCTTTGTTCAACCTTTTCTTAAAAACCTGTCATCATGGACTTTATTAAACTTCCACGGTGCTTGGCTGCCCTTATCATTATATTTTCCTGAGGTCTGACTCAAATCTCTCTTGGTGCTATATAACATTGCATTCAGCTCTGGACAACACACTCCCCAAAAGATCTGGATTGTATCTGCATTAGCATTTTAGTTCATTCCTACACATTATGCTCTGGTTCACTCAACAAAGCAGTCTCAGACTCACAGACTTTCAGAAAAAACTTAATCAGAAAGTGTGTTCCAGGAGAGCATCTCATGTTTTCCAACCAGTACATACATTCAGACTGAAGGACCAGCCCAGAACTATTCCAAAACTGTAAAGCATGCATGACTGTGGATGTTAAGCCCTCAGCACCACACATTTTATTCTACAGGTCCTGTTTTGCATTCACCCCACATTCTTACTAGGCCACACTACCTGCTGAAGTAGATACAGCTGCTAGCAAACTTTCATTGAAGAACAGCAAAAGCTGTGATGCGATGGAGGAACTGATTTATTAGGAAAGAGCAGGCCAGAAACATGAAGAAGGCAAATGGAGTTTTATAGCCATCATTTGCCCTGTTCCCTGTGACATAGAACAATTATGGTCATGCAGCTGTGCAGCCCTTTCCCTGCGGGTGACCAACGCCCCAGGTCGGTCAGCTCAAGGACACAAAGGTGGATTGTAGCAGCCTACACAGCCTAACAACTATATAGCCATTAAGAATGTCAGATTTTAATTTGGTATCTCAGAACATAACCAAGGATAAGATGTAATTAAGATAAGAAAAAAAATAAATACTTAATTTCAGAAGACAATGTACTGGCATGACGTCTTTTAAACAATGGAACAGTCTCCCAGACTCTTCCCAGTAATGGATCCTATTTGCTTGGTGCTTTTGTAGCCAGATTGGCAAATGCTAGAAAACAGACTGCAGGATATAATCTTGCTTTGGCAAGGGATTGGGCTGGATGATGAATTCCATCTAAGCTTCCTCTCAATTCAGGCTAAAGTTTTGGAAGCCAGATCTTTTTCTTACTTAGTATTTGCCATATGAAACCATATATCAGCTGGACCTCCCAGGTATAACAGCCACAACAAATACCAGTTAGAGCTCTCGGGGTCTGATGCAAACCTCCTCAGGGATGACCAGCGTGTCTCCGCTGATTTGAGAACCCTCAGAACAAGCTCTTGATAATCAGAAAATGCATCGTGTCTGCAAATGTGTGGGAAGTCAAAGCCACTCTTCCCTTTCAGCTACCCAAGTTGGCAAGAAGAAGCAACCCAGCATTAGCACAACCATGGTGCAGCACTGCGAACAGGTTACTTTGCCTGAGCTAATATTTCCTGCTAAATAGCAGCATTCTGGATTCAAGCTGACTTGTACCTTGTCAGTCTGCTATGTGCTCAGAAGAAGTTTTCACCTGCTCTCATTGAAATATCTTTAATTAAACTCTATGTTAATAAGCAAAAAAAATTCCCAAAATAGCATAACAACTTTTCCCTTTTGACTCATTCCATGTGCCTCATCTCTTTAATGCCTGTCATCAGACTGTCAGTACACTGAATCACCTTTATTTAACATCTAATATAGAATCAAGCACCTTGACCCAATGAATGCAACAGAGGCCAAGAGAACTGTACTGCACTCACAGACAGCAGCTGAGAGTTTTACTGCTTCTTGGGGCCAGCTTGGCCCACTAAAATGTCTGTAATGTTGAACCTTCTTCTCTAAAAACTTCTTTCTTAAAAATGTCCCGGTTTAGCTACTCATTAATGGAGTCATCTAAGCCTTACAAGTAATTTTGAAAAATCACAGCCACATTCTTGAATTGAATGGCCACATTTTTATTTCAGTCATATAGATGAAAACTAGAACCCCTCCTTCTCTCCTTCTCAAAATCAAAGAACAATGCTCTTCACAGGGCTATATATTGTACCCCTTCAACACGCATAAATGCACACTAAGACCAAGGCCACCAATAGCCAGTGCAGAATTATTTATTGCCATGTGAAAGACAAGTACACACAACAGAGCAAATAGGAAAAATAAAAAAAAAAAAAAAAAAAGAAAAACTAGTTTTAAAATTAAGATTACAGAGCAGAAATAACAGGAGAAGCACTTAAACATATTGCTGCCCCAAGCGGGTGTGAATTTCAATGGAAAATAACTACCAAATGTTTCCAAAGCCAACCACAGAAATCAAATAAGATTCAACTTAAACTCAATTTATTCTGAAGATTTTGTTATTATAAAGGCACACATGCATGTAGTATTTATGGCTATTTCTCAAAAATTAAACTCTTCTGGGCTCAAATTTGTGTAACACCAAAAAAGGGTTTTA